ACAATATGCACAAAGAATGTTTTATTTGTATCAAAATGTAAGGCTTTCCACTATAAACTGTGAAAAAGAAGATTTAACAGAGTACAAGGCTGGAAAGGTTGGAACATTCACATATTGTACACATGCCTGTTTATATTTCTAAAGAAGAATCTATGCAGTTATGTTTTATTGTAGGAAATGTCATTTTTGTTTGTGTATATATTGTAAATAAATAGGATGCTGTATATTTTTGCAGTTGTTTATCCCCTCTGAAATAGAAGTGATCAGTTAGTCTCTGCATATTAACAAAAATAGTTGTTTTTATCCAAATTGAAATACAGGTTTCCCTCGCTTTATGCGGGTTTTGTATGTGCGAATTCGCTCTTATGCAATGACCCTTTTATAGCGAAAATTCATTATGTGATTGGTGTGGTGGAAACCCACTGCTCAGGGCAGCTGGTGCCCATGTTTCTGCAGCTGCAGCTGCCCGGGGAGTGGTGTGACGTCATGTGCGTCCCCAGGGCAGGGTGCTGCTCCCAGGGCAGCTGCAGCTGGGCACAAAGTACAGCACACAGCAGCAGCAGCAGCAGCCTGTCTGCTGTTGGTTAGTACCAAAATTGTCTGGTAAAAGTGGTAGAAATGGGTCTGGGGTTCAGTACAGTTGAGGTCTTGGAACGTATCCCTATTTGTTACATTTTAAAGTGGGTTCCCTTTATGTGAATTTGGGTTATGCCCCATTTTCCAGGAACACATGTACAGCATAAAGTGAGGGAAACCTGTAGAAATATTAGAACTGCAGCTTCAGACTTGGCAAAATTACATCTATCCCTTTATCTTTTAACATAGGTGTCTCAAGTACACATACTATAGTGATATTATTCAGTGTATCAAAAAATTGCCACAATTTTTCGGTATAGTCCAATGAGTTTGCTAGAATTAAATTCCAAAGCCTGTATTGTTTTTTCTCAATAGCAGATTATCCAAACAGTGTTCACATTGGGTAAATTTACTCCACATGCACAGGGCGTCCATGACACAAATTCCTTTCTTAGGTCATTAGTGAGGATCAAGTGGAACGGAAGGGATAAGCCAGTCTCATGCTGGCCCTGTACAAAGTGGCAAATTTCACCCTTGGACATGGCATGCTTGAGAAACAGGAACTGTAGAAAAATACGATTAATACTGCATACAATGCTCTTACTGTAAACACTGGAATATGTATTATTCAGTATTTATTTAAAAATAGAGATTGAGAAACGGGTCTAACAATATTTATTTTCCAAGCTTACTATGTAGCCTTGGATAAAGACAAAACTTGAAGTAGCATTTGTTTTCAAACACGAGCACAAATTGGGAGGGAAATGTGTAAGTCGCTTTTACAGAGCTTTGCAAATTACCACGTGTTTACATCTTGTTTTCAGTGTTGTAGCCAACAAAATACAAACTGTAAAAGGTTTTTTTCAACAAGACTTGAACTGTATTGTTTATATCATTCCATTTTCTAGAGTCCCAGTGTACGTTCAGGTTCACCCAACTCCAGTTCAAACACTACTGTTTGAGTGATGTATACCTGATATGAATTAATTTTGAATGGATTATTCAAGTCCATTGTTGCTCCTGTTAATGTCACCATACTTTGTGCTGTTCATATTAAAAATATTCAAATTGATATGTTTCTCAGTTTTTGTGTGTAAATAAAAATGGAATGAGTTCTATAATCTCTCTCTTATAAATATAGTTTTTCAACATTAAAAATGTGATCTGAAGTAATGTGAATGTTATGTTAATTCTTTTGAAGAGAAAAATACATGTTTATCGCAGTCTCTTAAACAGAATGAGCTTGAATATCTTACTCAACGTTGAGTTGCACATTCAAGTGCGCTTTTGAACCAAAAGCTTGTGTTCCTAGTGTCGTGGAAACACACGCAGCATATTTTTGGGTCAGGTCAGCAGAAGCTTTTATTTAAAAGAAACTACAGCTGTAGGGGGGACTCCAAAGTGACATGGATTTCCCAAGCACTTGGAAGGGGTCCCCCCCAAGAGCAAAATCAGGAGGCTTATATACTTTTTAACAGTTGCTTACAACTCACGTGATCATATAGTGAAATTAGCATGAAAAGCGGCTATAATATTACTTCATTATTTCTTTGCTGTAATCAGGATGGGAACTAATGGGGGAGGCGAGGTTAGTTCACAAACCTCCTTCTTGCACCTGGAAATCAGATTTGTACATACTTTTTTGCTATCTTCAAGGCCGCGGTGAGCGAAGCAGTTGCAGAGGAGTTACAAAGAACAAACACTTTCTCTTATCTGTTCTACTATACAGAGCCAGCAATTCTCCACAAAGCGGTTATGTCATCTTATAACTAAAATAATCAAAGTTTAAGGCAGATATTTTTTCTGATTCCACACTAGTGATACTAGAGTCTCTGGAAGTGGATAGTCTAAGGAACCAACAAGTGTTGAAGAGCCTTTGGATGAACGTTTCAAAATCACTGAAGTTGCTTAGGAGCTATGGAAAATGTTACATTTTTGGTCTTCAGGTGGCTGGGGACCAAATAATCAGCAAAGTGTTGGTGACTACAATCCTGCCCTTAGTCTAAACACTTCCTGCCTAAGAAACAATGAATGATTAAAACAGCTTTTCAACTTTTTTTCAGAGCCTGAGCACCCCTCCATACCTTTTGATTTTGGCAGCATCTGGGTTGAGAATAACTTTTACTGTTTCTTCAGTTCTTTTCAGTTAGGGTGCTGTTGCATGCTTCTGACTGTATTAAGGTTATCTAATAAACCTAAAGCTGCCAAGAGCAGAGGCATAAGTAACAAGTTTCATGCCCTGGGTAAAACTCCCCTGTAGTCTAGGGGGTAGTGCTAGGGGAAAGGAGGATGGTCTTGCTTGCCCTAGGGTGTCCTTGCATAACCTGTCTTCAGATGGGCAGTGCAAAGGGCTTCTGTAGTATAACCTGGCTTCTCCATCCAGGCAGTGCAAGGGGGCTGGAGCACATACTCTTACCACAGCCATGTCTGATCCAATGCTGCATGGTCCTCCTTGAAACAACAGGGTGTGGGACGGTCCCACTTACCCAGCTCACCTCTGTCTCTGGGAGGAGTGTGTGGGGTCAGACTGGTAAGGGCTGTGGGAAGCATATGTGCTCCAGCTACAGCTGCTTCCAGATCTGCCTCTGCAGGAGTTGCACAGGCAGTTCCACCTGCCCACAGTGGTACCCCTGGAAGGGTCATGTGGCACCCTGGTGCAGAACTACTGGACTAATAACTTAGTTGGGAAGAGGAAAAATAAAAAAATAATCCTTCAGCAACAACCAGCCAGCTGCTTTCCCACACAAGAAGGAGGGAAAAGGACCAGGTGATCCTTGCAAGAGCACATTCTTGGCCAACCTCTGTCTTGCCCTTACATCCTCCCTGTTGAGAGTTGGCCACAAGGTCCCCATGGAGAAGGGCTCCTTGAAGATGGTGAAGATGCAAGTCCCTACCTACAGCCCTCTACTACCTTATCCCTTCTGTAGCTAAGTAGTCCCATTTCTACAGAGGGCTTTCTGCACCCTAAGAGGAATGAACAATCATCCCTGGTCTATAATATTAGCAAACACTATGTATTGGGAAATTGATAAAACCTAAAAGGAAGAAACTGCTTTTTCCTTCTTCATTTGTAAGAAAAGGGAGGCAGGTTTTTCTCAGGCTGCAGAGCATGGGGGCGCTCTGTGCCACAACAGAGTAGTGTTAGCTCTTCTTGTAAAGAGGTGTTGGAGGATTAGGGCAGAAAGACTGATTCACATCCCTGTCTCCAAACCCCTGCAATCATAGCTTCCCGATGAACAGGACATGAACTTGTCACACTGCAACCTGTTGCCCTTCCCAACCCAAGGCAGTGCAGCAGCACCAGTTGTGCTACATTCAGGGCCTTTTACAGTACAGGTTTCCCTTGCTTTATGTGGGTTCTGCATGTGCAAATTCACTCTTATGTGATGACCCATTTTATACCAAAATTTTGTTTTATGCGAGGTAAATTCACTCGTGTTTGGTGTGGTGAAAGCCTACAGTCAGCTGCTTTGTGCAGTGCTTTGTGGGAGTAATGCACACCAAAATATAGTCTCCTGTGTGGATCTGTGCTACTCACTTGTTGTCTGTGACGTTTTTCTGTAGTTGCCATCCCCATTATGGCTTCTAAGCATCCCGCTAGCTTATCCTACCCCTCTCCCTGGCCTGTCAGTGAAGCCTTCACTACTCTCTTTTCACACCAACTAAACATTCACCATCATCCTGTGCTTGTGTGTACTGTCTGCTGTTGGTGCGTACCAAAATTGTCTTATAAAAGTGGTAGAAATAGGTTTGGGGGTCAGTACAGTCGAGGTCTTGGAACATATCCCTATTTGTTACATTGTAAAATGGTTCCCTTTACGCGACTTCAAGTCATGCACCATTTTCCAGGAACGCATGTACAGCATAAAGCAAGGGAAACCTGTACCCTGGAATTCAAGTTTTGAGCTAAGGACCCCTGGAGGGGCCTTCTCATTCCAGTAACCTTATATTTTTCAAGACTTACATTGTCAAATGGAAATTTTCCTTCAGTCTGGCATCTACTGCAAGCTAAGTTTATACATCTCAAGCACCATTAATGTCTGTTTCAGCTTGCAGTTAGGCCTACTACAGACCTCCCACCCAAAGTCCTGAGCTTGACCAGGAGTTTGCCCGGGAACTGGCTGAGACCGCATGCTGGACAGGCAAGAGTCTGGCCCCCAGCTGGCTGGGCTGACTGGGCGCAATTTGCACCCATAGTCCGCATATACATGTGCGTTTAATAGCAGCAAATTACCCTGGCATAAGATAGTATTGTCAGAGGAAACAGTATCGTGCATGGATGACCTCTACCTGACTCAAGAAGTCTATGGGCCAACGAGAGGCAAAGCGCTGCTCGACCTGGTACTGGCTACTGGGGATGACCTAGTCGGCGACCTAGTGATCGATG